GTTTGACCAAAAATTTGAATAAGAATAAAAACTTCAAGGCTCGTTTTTTCAATTTGATGTGATAGTTTCGAATTTATACAAAAAAAAAAAAAAATAATAATTAGAAAAATTGAGAATAAAAATAAAATGGGGAAAAATAAAAAGAAAAAAAAATTAATTAAAACGTTATTGTTTTTTAATATAAGATTTTTAAATCGTTACGTTTATAGCGCGTTTATTATTCGAATTGTTAAAATATTAGCCAAAGAATTTAATAGGCTATATATATATATATATAGACAAGAAAAAGAAAAAAAAAAAAAGAAAGAACATATATTCAAATTGTCTCATCGTAAAATCATATTAAATTAGAAATATTAGAATCTGAATAATCCTACGATAAAGCAGAAATACTCTTTTCGTTTTTGTTTTTGTTTTTTTTTCTTACATTTAGAAATACTTAAGAGTATATATTCGGTTTTGTAGTACAATAATAACGAAAGAAAATTAAAAGAAAAAAATAAAAAAAAAAGAAAGTAATGTAATATAACAATTACCGACGTGGTGTTACAACAATTGTATCTCGAATTTTTGTAATAGTAAAAAAAAAACACATAAAATATTAAAATACACGTAAAAATGTGCTTGATGCGAATTTTTTTCAATAAAAAAAAATTTAAAAAAATATCAAAAGTCAGAACATTCATCACTTTTCACAATCAAATCAAATCATCACATCAAAAAAAAAAAAAAAAAAACCTTCCGCAATAATTCGTGATATAAAAAAAAAAATTATTAAATAAATTAAACAATTAATGATTTCATTTTGGATTAATTTCTTTAAATCTCCAATTTTTTGTCTACAAAACTAAACTAAAATTGAGGGGAAGGTGGGAAGAGGAAGAAATTATAGTCAAAAAAGTTTCAAAAAATTCGAATCTATTTTTTTCTTTTTTTTTTTTTTATAATTATTTAGAAATTTTATTTGAATTAATTAATAATTATAATTAATTTTTAATGTAATATTTATTTATTATTTTTCAACTCGTCGAGAAATTTTCTTTTTTTTTTTTTTAAATAAAAGAAATAAGAACAAATGACGAGTTAAATAATTCGATTAATTAATTCCTTAAATTAAGTTTATATATTTATTTTTATTTAATTTATGTTGAAAAATGAGAAATCATTTGTATAAAATTATTAATTTATTATATATATATATATAAAAATTGTATTTTATAATTGTTTCGTATAAAATACAGATTATTACTTTTTTATAATTATATTTTATTATAATATAATTTAATTTTATATTTAATAATTATTTTTTATAATATAGATTATTATATTAATATATATTTACATTAATATATTTTACAGATTATAGATTATTATCTAAGTTTAGTTCTGTAAATAAAACATTAGAAACTAAAGGAAACTAATCAATAATAGAATATAATCAATTGTTTCAATTATTTAAATATTTTTTCTAAATTGTGGAATTATTATTTTATTATTTTTATCATTTAATCAAATTAAAAATAATTGGTTTTTTTTTTGGTCTAAAAATATTTCATTTAAAAAAAAGTAAAAATGATTTGTGTGGTTTTTTTTTCAAGTGCGTGGGATTAATATCAAAAAAAGGAAGGAAGATAAAAGATATATATATATATATAATACATGCCAATTAAAAGTCAGATAACATTATTCTTTTTTATTTTATCTTTCAATGATAATATAATTACGTCATGTGATATTTTTACAAATCGTGGTATTAATACTAATTAAATATTTCGACGATTTAAAAATAAATAACCTTGCAACATTCTATTGTTTTCATAGAAATGTGTATGTGTATGT